GGTACTCAAAAGACTATTTAACTTTAATTAATCACTAATGGATCTGAAACAAAGGCATTTTTCTTCTGTACATGGTGCAATATTTCGCCTTAGTGTCAGCCCCCTAAATGGTGTCACCCGGTGCGGACCGCACCCCCCCCTCCCGTTCCACACTAGCAACGCCTCTGGTTTTATACACAAAACATTTAACTACTAAGACAAGGCGAACTAATACAAAGTTCTCAAAACGGGGATTTGGGTTGCACATTGTTTATGATAAATGTATGATAACAAAACTGTCCCACAATTAACAATAAAATATGTTTTTTTGCTAATCTTATCAATATCTATTAATAGAAGCTTGGCTTACTATAACGAATGTGATGTGAGATAAAATAACTGGATCAATAAATAAGTCATACCATGAACGTAAAGTAGACTGTTAAATAAACAACACAAGTTAAAGAAATAGCACATGTACAAGAAATAGCAAAAGTATAATAAATAGCACATGTAAAAGAATTAGCACATGTACAAGAAATAGCACATGTAAAAGAAATAGCACAAGTAAAAGAAATAGCACATGTAAAAGAAATAGCACATGCAAAAGAAATAGCACATGTAAAAGAAATAGCACATGTAAAAGAAATAGCACATGTAAAAGAAACAGCACATGCAAAAGAAATAGCACAAGTAAAAGAAACAATACATGTAAATGAAATAGCACATGTAAAAGAAATAGCACATGTAAATAAAATAGCACATATAATGAAATAGCACATGTAAAAGAAATAGCAAATATAAAAGAAATAGCACATATAAAAGCCATATAAGTAGAAGACCAAGCTGAATAACTAAAAGTAGATTACCAGGTGTAATCGATTATTTAAAAAGACATGTGTCAATTACATATTAGAGAAAAAATCTATTTGAAAACTAAAGCAAATTACTAAAACTTTAAGACAACATTATGTATAAACTTCACCTTTATTCATATACAGCCATAGGTTTAATGTATGTGTGCCTAGTAGCTTCTGTTTGTGTTTCTGAACTGTGTCGTTCAGTGTAAACATACGTCAGATGACTGAGCTTCTCTTATTAGGGTTAGCAGTTTCAATATAGGGCGTAGTATTTGGTGTTTGATATGTAACATAAAAAAACGGAATAGTGTATTTATTGCAATAATTCTCTCTCTCTCTCTTTATATATATATATATATATATATATATATATATATATATATATATATATATATATATATATATATATATATATATATATATATATATATATATATATATATGGGTGATACCATTAAGTGCAGCACCGGGTGACAGCCGACCTCGCTACGCCACTGATATATATATATATATATATATATATATATATATATATATATATATATATATATATACTTATATATATAAATATATACATTAATGCATATATATACATATATATATATATATATATATATATAGATATATATATATATATATATATATATATATATATATATATATATATATATATATATATATAATGTGTGTATATCTGCCTTGTATGTAGTGATAAAATCGCCATGAAACTTTGGAAAGTTGTTGAGTGTGAACCAAGTAAGATTTCTGACATAACGTATTTTTTTTAATACCGGAGGGGCTGCGTCCCAGCAGTTATGTGTTCCGCAAGATCCCCTTCGAATGTTTTCCCACCAGGGGTCCACTGATTGTGAGTCCGGTCCAGAAGGTTAGGGGTACTACTTGAATAAACGGTCAAACTGCACCAGAGGCGTCCCCTTGCGCCCCGACGTCAATGAGCACTATGGCGCTTACATTCATTTTAAAGAGCGTCCTACACTAGGGACACGGTAGGCTACTACAATCGTTAACCAGACCTAACCGAGGGTGGCACAAGGCGACATTGCAGTAATGTAATAGGTGGCTTCGGGGACAAACTTTCAATTTGCACCCCCTCAAACTTTCGATTTGCACCCCCCTCAAACTTTCGATTTACACCACCCCCCCCCCCCCACCTCAAACTATTTATAATGCAAAAGTGCAGCTAAAATGACATTTTAATTTGTTTTTACAACCCATTTTGGCGCCCCCTAAGGTCGGCGCCCGGGGACATACGTACCCCCTCTTCCCCCCCATCACTACGCCTCTGCACAGAACTATAGTGTAACATGGATCTTAGTAAATTATTTTGACAAAGTTCATCATATTTTCCAGGGACTTCAAAATCTTTACAGTACAACAATTTTTTATATAACCATCCAGTACTCTAATACTCTAGTTTCTAATATAACGGGCTTCCTTTATCTGACCCAATTACAACACAGATAAGTAATAGTAATATAAAGTGATTAAAATACTCTATGTTGACAGAGTTCAGACAAGATTTTGGAAAAATATCGATGTTGTAAGAAAAATTCAACTGCATTTATTTTTGTGTGGTTGTAGGCTGTGTGACGTCATTTTATGGAGAGGGTTCTGATTGATAGTGACGATATGTGACGATATGTGACGAAGGGGAGAGGGGAGGAAAAAATCGTCAAAAAAGCGTGACGCCATTTATAGATGACCCCTTTTCTAAGTGTGGGCGGGGGAAGGGGTGCCTAAGCAGGCGGCATATTTCTGGTTTATAAATACATATAATATAATTATATTTGTACTAAATCTCTAGGCCTGGTTATTGCAATGCTCACATTTTCTTCGCGAGATTCCTACATGAATTTTACTTTTCCTATTCAACAGCTTTAGTTCACGATCGTATATGGAAGCATCAGGCTGTGGTCAGGCATAGAGAGGCGTGGGGGCCGCCATTCGACACTACGCCCTAGACACACCACTCTGCCCCAACGACCAAAACAAGGGTTAAGGGATGATTTACTTTAAGATTTTAAGTTCACAATTTTACATAAAAATATAATTAGTTCCTAAATCGCTATAGTATTATGTATAGTTAATTAGTAAGTTATTTTTACGATTCGCATTCAGTGTTTCTTCCAGACTTTTTTCTCCGGGGGTGCACTTGAAATTTTCGGGGGGGGGGGGGGGGGGGGGCGGTCGGTATATATTCTTCGGGGGGGGGGGGGGGCTGGAAGAAACTCTGTTCGCATTTTGATAGCCGCTATCATAGGCGGGGATAACAGACCCTAATAGACATAAAATCAAGTATAGTTTTTTGACACTTAACTGAAGAGACAGAAATATGCCGACAGAAAGCTAACTTATTAACAGAAATCCGACAAACCATGGATCTATCAAACCGTATATATGCTAACATTTTTAGAACATAGTGTTGCTTAAGATATTCATTATTCTCACACTATACGCAATGAAAGCAATGGATAAACTTAAAAAAAACAATAGCTGTTGTCTATAATCGTAGCTGTAAGGTTAAAAAAAACAGCCATTTCAAAAGTGTGTCCCCTTTCCAACATGAGATATAATGAGCATTTTGTATATCAGACTTTTGTCATTCTGTTTTAATGTTTAAAGTAGTTATAAAACCACAGAAGAAAATATATGGTTACCGTATGCTAAAACCAAAACAAAAATACGAAGGTTTAAAGAAAATACACGTTGAATTTATTTAACAATTTAAAACATTGATGTAACTTGTTTAAAAAAAGAAAAATGAATTCTTTTAACATTTCAGTTTAGAATATGGCAAACCGTTTTATATTTAAAATCAATTAATATAAATTCAACACAATATTATCTATGATCACTTACAAGAAGAGTGAGGTGATTGACATATTTTAAACCTGGCAATCCATAACATACAATAATGTTTCAACTGTGTGCGTAAATTAAACACAGTAGAGCGTAATAAATAAAGTATGACACAGGATAGTCTTATTTCAATTAGTTAAAACATATACAATATTATGACAAGAAAATGTGACGATTCGGTTTAATATTATTTTAAATAACGTAATGAAATCGTGAAAGACACCATTGAGCAGAGGCGTAGCGAGGGGCGGGGGGTGCGGACCGCACCGGATGACACCATTTAGGGGGGTGACACCATTTGAGGGGGTGACACCAAGGTACAAAATAGCAAAATATATAGAGAAAAACTTGAGGGAGGTGCAAATCGAAAGTTTGAGGGGGGAGGGGTGCAAATCGAAAATTTGAAAGTTTGTCCCCGGGAAGGATCGCTACGCCTCTGGGGGTGACACCATTATGTGCCGCACCGGGTGACACCCGACCTCGCTACGCCACTGCAACTGAGTTTTTTGTTTGTGGTATCTTTCTTCTACAAACTATGGTAGGCAATTTTTAAAAATCTATCTTTTAAAGAAAACACAAAAAAAAAGAACAACCAAACGTGCTGACCCGCACCTGAATCCCTTATACCAATTCAGTAGCTATAATATATAAATGAAATTAAAAGTCTAAATGCAAAACTATATAACTATATGTTAACCTTAATAATCATCAAATATGATAAACATAACATATTAAATGCATTGTTTAATGAACACAGAGCACTTGATTGTAAAGTCATAATTAAATTTACCCATGAATCATTTTAATAGAGGAGAAAAACAATAAATATCAAACTTTTATTCGAAAGGGATAATATTATTTTTAAAACACCAAACAGTTTCATTCAAAAGTATGTTCACATTATTCGTTATTAGTAGTGTGTTTTCAACTACGTCGACGAACAAAGTTAGGTTCGTTTGTGTGTGTGGGGGGGGGGGGGGGGGAAGGTGTGTGGAAGGGGTGGTAGATTTCAAATTTTTAATGGAACTCATACACGCTTAACCCTATATGTAGCATAATTACTTATATCATTACTTCATATACTGAAATTTTTGTTAACAAACGAGATCATATTTGTTATGTAATTCGACAAAAACGTGAAGAGAAATTTAGTAAAGTCTGTTTCAGTGTGACCAACAACAATTACAAGTTTAAACTATACGTTGTGTGTAAAATACTGAAACAACAGTCTAGAAGCATCACTGATTAAAGAAATGTTGTGTAAAAAAATTGGTGGTGTGTGCATGTTTTATGCTTTAAAAAATAACATTCAATAAAAACCACTAGTAATACTGTTTTTGTCCAACAGTGTATCATTCAGAACTATACATTTAAAAATCTACGAGAAAACAAGAAAAATGTGTACAATCAATTGCTTCCCATGAATAACTTTCAATAAATAACAGATCTCCAGGTTTCATCCTCAACTCAAATATTCTTGAAGCATCACCAGATTCATTTTTTGTATTAACCCAACCGAGCTGTGACTGCCTACCACCAGATTGGTGCACAACACAAACTGATGCAGGAAAACTTTCAGTCTGTTTTATTGTAAGACTTGCTTTATACAGGCCATCAACGGGGGAGGTAAACACTCCAGTTTTTGGATCAAAATGGTTTCCTTCGTTACTTTCTACAAGCTGAAAATGTGTCTGCTTATCAATACCAATATCTCCCAAATGTATCGTGCCATGCAATGCTACAAATCCGATAGGAGGAGGTTTAACATGTGGTTGAACTGAAAAATATGAAATGTTTACTTTTCATTTATTTAACTGGCTAAATTTAAAATACTTACACTTAGAGTATTGTACACTGAAGTGTTCTCATAAAAATATTTTGCTGAGATTTTTGGTAGAAGAGGCGTTGTACGACGCTAATCTTATTGTAACGCTAATTTAATTTCTGAATGTTGAATATGAATATTATGTTAAGGAACAAATATTTTACACAATTCGCTACTAAACAATGCACGAAATTTGAATACAAGTACAAATTAATTTAAAAAATGGACTTACACTGTAGTTGATTATTCAGTGATATCTCCAGTAATTTATGTTCCATTACATCAAGCTACAAGAGAAATAAACAGTTAAATTGATTATATTACAAAAGCTTTCATAAAGTCATTTTTATTAGCAACTGTGGAAAGGGGACAAAATGTAAAAGCTGTGGTGAGAGCACTCGTGGTGCAGATTGACATTTGACCCTAATACTACATCTGACACCTCCCTAGCACGATGCTTAATTAGCGGACCCCAGGTGCGTATGTAGCCTCAGGAAAAACTCGGGTCAACAAACTACAGTCATGGCAAAACAACTCCGATATTTTCTTAATACGAGAAACCTTGGGAGTGCGGTGATGCACGAAGAACAGATGATTGCGTTGACTGCAAAGGGAAACAGCTCAATTCATATATTCGGAAAAAATCATCTAAGCTTGGTTATTTCCCCTTCGGTAATCGAAAGATACTCTACTGCTTGACCAAGATCAAATGAAAAAAAAAAACAAAAAAACTTTCATGTAATATGCAGATTACTTTTTAATGTGCATAAAAGTTTTGCTATTAAAAAAAAATAACTATAAATTTCCGATCTTTATATACTAAATAATGTACATGAATTATTTCAAAACAATTACCAATAGCATTTTGAGTTAGTTATATTCGTGTACAGACTATTAAGGCAATTGAAATTACACCATTTTAAAATGTACCAGTTGTACGACTGACTAATGTTACTAAAACCAAAATCAAACGTAACATATATAAACATAATACATCCGATTTTCTTAAAAGTGTAATACAGTTAACAAATTGCTAAACTTTTCACTCGAAGATATAACAGGACATTGCAGTAAAATTATCACTTATTATTATACAGTCTCGTTTTATTTGTTTGCACAGTAATAGACATAACTTTACAACAAGAAAAAACAACTGACATTACCCTCATCATGTTTTCATCTCTTGCCGTCAGGTTTTGATTGAACAATTGAAACAACTTGTCGATTGCCACCAATCTTTGTTGAAGTAACTGACATATGACACCATGCTAGGAAGTGTAAAGTATTTAAACTTTGCATTTTAAAATTGTTAAAAATAGCTTCTCAATAAATGTAATGTTATATATATATATATATATATATATATATATATATATATATATATTCAAGGTATGTTGGGTTGAGAGCTGGGCTAATATTCACTAGCCAAAAATGAAATTATTATTGGCTTTAACTTATCATAGTTTAGTATTTTATGTAAAGTTAAAAGTCTAATACTTACTGCTGAGGTAATTGTCTTAATTTGATTGCCTGTTTGCATTGCTCTTTTCTTTTGTTCTTCTTGTAAATCAGACATTGAATCAGTCTGACTTTTTATTTCTTGTATCAGAACACTTGTTTTATCAGTCTGTAGCTGCATCTGTTTATTCAATTTGTTTAAATTGCTTTCATTTTCTTTTATATCTAGAGACAAGTTTTCTAGTGTTTTGCTCAAGAATGATTCTTTTTCTTGTAAATATTCAATTTCTAAATTTGACTTCTTTTGATTATCATCATAGTCTTTTAGTTGTTTTCTCATATTTTTAAAATTCTGTTTTTGTTTCTTTGATAATTGATCCACTTTCACCACCATATCATTTTGTTCTGTTACAAAGTTGTCTCTCCATTGTTTTATTTCTGATATGTTATCTTCAGTCTTTTGTTTAGTGTCTTGAAGATAAGCCAGAGTTAACTCAATTTGCTCCAGCCGGCTAGTTATTTCAGAATTAAATTCATCTGTGGTTTAAAAACAATGGCAGATATTTAATTTAATTATTAATAGATAAAATCTGTTGAACATACTAGTTTTCTAATTTAATAAGAAAAATAATTAAAATTATTGAATTGAATTATAATATAAACCTTCAAAACATGGCTACTTTATAATTTTTACTTTCTCGTATATACGAAGTATAGAGAAAGTATTGTAATCGTGCACAAAAATCAATTGAAATTTTAACAATTTTCACCGTATTACACCTCAGTCTTTCATCACATCCGAAGTATAGAGGACTTATTTTAATCGGGCAAAAATTATCAATCCAGATGTATCAAAATTAAGAGGTTTTGTGCGTAATCCAGTCTGAAAAACTGGGCTTTGCATCTCTGTCCGTATGTCTGTGTGTCTGTGTGTGTGTGTGTGTCCGTGTGTAAACACGATAACTTGAGTACCGTTACAGCTAGGTAGATGAAATTTCATATATAAGTATTTTATCGAAATCGTAGATCCGTATCAACTTTTGAGCGATTTCCGATAACCGGAAGTGGTACTTTTTCTACTTTGAATTTTTCAAAAGCTTATAACTTGAGTACTATTTCACATAGATAAATGAAATTTCACATGTAAGTAAAAAATCTAATTTTCTACCTTCTGTTAAATTTTGAGTAATTTCCGTTGACCGGAAGTAGTAATTTACGCTACTTCCGATTTCTCAAAAACCAAATGTAAATTTTTAAAGTACTAATAATATTGCGCACCATTATACACATTTGGTTTTGGTGCTAGCTTGGTGCGCAATTTTTTTTCTACTAGATTTTATTCTATTTTTAAAACTTTAAGTATTTAAAAGGGATTAAAAATCATGTCTATAGCCCGAGTTCCCATCCCACGTAGTGTTATATAAGAATATTCGAGAAAGTTTAGGGGAGATCACTCCCGGTTTATTTAAGATCATTAAGTAAGTTATTGTAGTATTGTGCTAACTATTAATGTACAGTATTTTAAAACAAACAGTATCTGCTATAATTTCTGATTCCTATTGATCAACTGAGCTTACCAGAATTTGGTGTTTTGAGAATTGGTTCAGCTGCTTCTGTTTTCAAATGTTTACTTTCAGATATTTTTGCTTCTGCCTCGATGATTGGGGTTGGGTAAAGCTGGGTGGACTCTGATCAGAGCATGAAACAGAAAGTTTTACATTATTTACTAGTAAGCAACATTTTACATTGGTTTGTGAATCAAATTAATCCAATACAGATAACACATTTGATTTTTTATATACATTGTTTACAAATGTTTAAACAACACTATAGTAATATTAACTGTTAAAAACTTTAAAAAGAAATATTTTTTTAAAATGTGGAGTAATAATTGATACAATAAAAATATCCTTAATAAGAAGCTTACAACATACCTAATGGTACCTAATATTTAGACTAAGTGAGAAATGTTGTATAAGCAGTAATAAAATATTGATGGAAAATTGTAAAAATGGGATAAGTGTACCAGTTAACATGTCCATATGTTCTAGTAATGTATTGTGTGCTGTTGTTACCATGGCGATAGCCTCTTTTACCGTCATATTGCAACCAGGGCTGTTGTCAAGACATTCCATTGCTTTTGTTTTAACCTACAAAATATAGATCTACCGGTTTTAAACAAATTTTACAAAAAAGTAGTGCAAATATAGTATTTGCCATATATTGTGAGAAAATGAATTTCAATATTTTCAACACATTCTGTATGGTAAGGGTTAGCGAGAGAGACAGTTAAATAAAAGTGTAACTGAATTAGAATCTACTAATTGATTCTTTTTCAAATACCTGCATAATAAAATTAGTAAACCCATTCTGTAAAAAATCACAGCATTCATCTATTTGATCAAACAGGTTCTGTACATGTCTCTTAGAATGATGTGACATCTGAAAAAAAGGATTATTGCAGTAAGTGTTATAAAATTGTTTTTTTTTTCTATTTCATGGGGTAAGTGATGGTATAGGCTTATTAGACACATAGTGTATAAACATTTCATGTAGCCTACATTTAAAATAAAATTCAGCTACTGAGACGAGAGTAGTTAAATTTAAAAAAAGTTGAAGCAACACATTTACATGTTCCTTGTTTTAAAGTAAACAATTTAGGCATTGCAAAATGGGGAGGGGGAAGGCGGAGGGTAAGGTTGTGTTCTGTAGACATTTTATGTTAAGCTTCATGACATGTGGTGGCTCAGGGGAAAGGGGGGGGGGGCGTGGTGGTGGTGGTTAGATGCATAGGTCTATAAATCAATTATGTAGCCTACCTTTTTGTAAATTGAAGCAATTATGCTACAATCACAAATAATTAACTTAAATTTTAAAAATAGAAATATAATAATAACCTTTAATTTAATAATAGATTCTAAAATATAAATTTTAAGCTCACATTTAGAAATCTAGATTCTAGCCTAGATCTATAATTATATAATTTGGATTAGGCCTATAGAATAAAAGGATACAGATAGATACCTTGTAAACTTTAAGCAACTTAGCTCTTTAGTAGTTTAGAAATAACAAAAACAGGTGCATCATTTAATTACTTCTTTTAAAAAAAGGCTAGAGTAAAAAGTAACTGGTTTCACAGAAAGGCTAAAAATAGAACTGGGAAACCCGTTAAAACAAGTTAGTTAATACATCTATTTTGCTTGGGTATTCCCAATATTACTTATAACAGGTTAAGTGGGGGAGTGGTGTAAACCTGTTAGAATTTAGAAGTTAGAAATTAGAAGTTTAGACACTAACTAACTATATACACAGGCCTCATAGTTTATAGGCATATATTTAATGTTAGTATTTTCAAAAACTATTCCATTGTTAGACGTTTTGGTAGATTGTTGATCAATAACATTTTTAAAATATTAACTGTTACATAATATATATATATATATATATATATATATATATATATATATATATATATATATATATATATATATATATATATATATATATATATATATATATATATATATATATATATATATATATATATATAATAGATCTCTCTATATATAGAATATAAAGTAAGATTTAATACTGTTAATGTTAGTGTAGATTCTGTAGTGTAGAGTGTAGTGTAGTGTGTAGTTAAGTTGGGAGACAAAGACAGATAAGTTATGTAATACATAACTTATCTGTCTTTGTCCCTTAACATAATATATATTGGTTAGATCTAGGCCTACTGAACATTATAAACATATTTGTAAGCAGTACATTATCATCTGATAATTTAAAAAACTAATATTATGTAATATATATATATATATATATATATATATATATATATATATATATATATATATATATATATATATATATATATGTATATATATATATATATATATATATATATATATATATATATATATATATATATATATATATATATATATATATATATATATATATATATATATATCACAATTTATTTCAATTATTTCAGACATCAGAGACAATGCCTGTGAAAAAACATGTAAATAACTTGCTTGAACAGTTAAGAGAAATCCATGATCATCTACAGAATAATTTAAGTGATTTTGTCAATCTGGTAGGTAAAAGGTTAAATATTAATACATTGTAATACAATTAACAGAGCCACTAGATTATTGCAAGGATTAATAAGTTCAGTTTTGTTCTGAATTAATCACTAATAATCTTATAATAATAGAATATTTAATGGTCTGATACTATCAACTTAAAAGTTATTTTAATATTTTTAAAAATATTTTAATTTATCACTGAAAAAAACATTACAATTTTGAAAGGTTGAACAGAAAACCAAACAATGGATTGAAAACCCAACAGAATCAGATATGACATTTAAAGATGTTGTAGCTATGGTGACAACTGCAAATACAAGATTGCTCGATCATGTTCAGATGGTGCCAGGTAAGTGACTTTAGTAAAGTATTACCTTGTGCTAATTTTGGCTTTCTAGCTATTTTAGCTTAGCTATGCAGGTAGGCTATATTATTCTATTTAATGTTTTATAGTTCTTAAGGTTTCATGAAACACAGATACCTATTCAATCACGCCTTTTAATTATATTAAAAAAAATATTATTTGTGAAGATTATTTTACAGGCCATACAATTTATTTTATTACTTATACCACAAAATTATAGTTTTATACATTCTACTTCATCTGGCAATATATTTAAAAAAAAAACTTGCTAAGAAATAGTTTTGAGTATACTTCATTAATCAGTAGTTTTTGGTAGAATAAAACAGACAATAACATATGGTAACACAATTTTAAAACATTTTTCTATAGAATCAAGTAAACCTATATCAGCTACAGGAGAAACCAAAATAGCACAAGACAAAGGACTAGAAACGGCACATAAAGAAGAGGATTTTAAAGAGTTGGAAACAGGTGCATTTTCTAAAAAAATATTATACTAGTAAAAGTGTTTAAAAATGTATGCTAGTTCGGTTTGTTAATAAATTAAATGCATTAAACTGAAATTATTTATTATTTATTTGCTTTTAAGATTTAAAAAATAACAACTTACATTTACAGCATAAAAACTAAATACTTTCTTTAAATAACTAATTATTTAATGTTATTTTTAAAATGTAAATAATTTTAATACTTTGTTAAAAATCAGATATTTTACAAAGACTAAAATTAGTTGAAGCAACTCTAGCTTCTCATCAAGACACAAAACAAAAGATTGAAGATGACATGAAACATTGGAGAGACAACTTTGTTGCAGATATTGAGACAAGAATTGAAAAACTGTCACAGAAGCAGAAAAAATCTTTTAAAAATCTTAGAAAGAAAGTAAATGATCAAGATACCTATATTGAAGAATTAAACAAAGCTATTGAAGAATTAAAAAATGAAGATTCTCCTTCCATCAAAACAATTGATAAACTGTCACTAGAGATAAAAGAATATGAAACAAATATACAGAAAGTAAATGAGACAATTCAAGATCTCAAGGAAAAAATGGATGAAATATCAAAACAAA